CAGTCTGCTGAGCATTCTTGTGTCTTCAGGTTTACCTGCGTACTTGTTGTGGTTGAATAGATACCTGGGATCAAGAGAGTTGGCCCACTGAATGTGCACAGCTCCTGCTAACGGCTGTGCCGGCTCCTTTCCAGGTGGTCCCGTCAGCTGCTTGTGGATGTGTGGACGGGAGCTGCCATTCCACAGCCAAAGGTGTCGTCGCATTGTGGTTTATTTTGCTTTTCCCTCCTTGGAAATGCTCAAGACAGTGTGGTGTCGGGTAAGAACAGACAAATAGATTAGTGGAATAGAACACAGAGCACCCGAAAATATGATCCACAGTTACAAGGTCAGTTGTTTTTTGATAGCGGTGTCCAGGCACGACAGCAGGGGAAAGCTTTTCAACTGGATAAACGTGGGAAGGAAAATGAACCTCTGCTACTAACTCTCACTGTGGACACACATTAATTTTAGATAGATTATAGAATGAGCCATAAAAGCTAAAACTAAAGTTTCAAGAAGAAAACAGGAGAATGTTTTCACAACCTGAAGGGAGGCAGATTTCTTACCACACAAAAAACACTATGAAGAAAAAAATAGTAAATTGAACTTCTTAGTATTAAAAACTTCTTATCTGAAGTCATCATTAGAAAGGCAGAGGAAATAGAATAGCCAAAACAACTTTGAAAAATAAGGACAAGATTTCAAGACTTACTATAAAATGTAAAACTACCATAATCAAGAGAGTGTGGCATGTGGTATTGTCGAAAGGACAGGCACACAAGTCAGTTTGGCAGGATGGAGGGCCCCAGAGAGGTCCATGCCAGCGCAGTCGGCTGATCCTTGGCACCTCAGCATGTTCAGTGGGTGCTGGGCGCCATGGCTCATGCCTGTAATTCCAACACTGGGAGGCTGAGGCGGGAGAATTGCTTGAGCACAGGGGTTCAAGACCAGCCTGAGCAACACAGCAAAACTCTATCTCTACAAAAAATAGAAAAATTAGCTGGGTGTGGTGGCGCATGCCTTTGGGAGGCTGTGGCAGAAGGATTGCTTGAGCCCCAGGAGTTTGAGGTTATGGTGGATTATGATGGAGCCCCTGCACTTTAGCTTGGGAGACAGAGCAAGACCTTGTCTTTAGATACATATATTTTTTCAATGGAGAAAATATAATCTTGTTAATAGACAGTGCTGGAAAACTGGATGTCTGTATGCAAAAAAATGACCTACAGCTCACACTTTACACAAAAACTAACTCAATGAATTATAGACCTAAATGTAAAACATAAAACTTATGCAAGAAACACAAAAGAAGGTCTGCATAGTAGTCTTAGGCAGAGTTTTTAGATAAGACACCAAAAGCATAGTGCATAAAAGAAAAAAATCAATCATTTGTATTTCTTAAAAATTTTTCAATTTTGCTCTTAGAGAAACCTTTTGCAAATCACATATCTATTAAAGGAGTAGTATCAAGAATGTATAAAGAACACTTAGAACTCAACATAAGAAAACAAATAACCCAATAAAAAATTGGGCAAAAGATCTGAACCTGCACTTCACCTGGGAAGATGCTAGGATTGCAGAGAAGCACGTGCAGATGAGCAGGTGACGTCTATGTCATCTGTTGTCAGGAGAATGCAGGCAGTCCCCAAGGCAGATGACTGTGCTAGCCTGAGGCCACCCACTGTTTGGGGCAAGCAGCAGCAGTTCTGAGGAATGAGACGCCACAGTGGGCCTGGCGAAGCCCCCACATGTTCCTGGTGGCTAGAAGACCATGTACCTTCCTCATGGGAATTCCATGTCCTGTGCTAGGGCGGGAATGGCGACTGTCACAGCCGCTTTGGAAGACAGTCCAGCAGTTTCTTAAGTTAAACTGCCCTGTGACCAGCAATCTTTTAGGTGTTGACCCAAGAAAAATGAAGATTTATGTTTACACAAAACCCATATGTGAGGGTTAATGGCAGTTTTATTCAGTAATTGCCAATACTTGGGCAAAACCTAGATGTCCTCCAGCTGGTGAGCGAATGAATGAATCATGGTAACATCTCTACAACAGATTACTGCCCAGAAGTGAAGAGGAACAAACTATTGATTCACACAATAACATGGGTAGATCTTAAATTCATTTTGCTCTGTGAAAGAAGCCGGGCTCCAAAGGCTTATGTAGTGTGTGCTTCCTTTTGTCTGACAGTCTAGGAATAAACTACAGGGATGGAGAAGGAATCGGTGCTTCCAGGGTTAAGAGCTGGTGGGAAGGGAGAATTGATTACACAGAGAGCAGGAGGCAATTTTGGGAGTGATGGGACACTGTTAGATTTAGGACTATGCATTTGTCAAAACCCACAGAACTGTGCACCAGGAAACTTCACTCAAGTCACCCAGGGTGTTTGTGTGTGTGGGTGACCTGGATGATACAGGGTGTGGCAGATGGATCTAATCGCGTTACAGACACATCCACAACCACACTGATGTGGCTCTGGAAGGAGCCAACCTGCAAGTACCTTTAGAAAGTGGTGTTTGCACAGGATGCTCTAGGACCAAAGGCAAAAAGCTCCAGTATGTGTATGTAGTCTGGAGTTAGACAGATGTGAGTGGGCATAGGTCACGAGAGCTGGACCCCTCGCTTTGGAGAGAAGCTGCAGATGAAGGAGGAGCTGGGGTTGCCCTGGCCTGAGACTGGGGGGCTTTCGGCATGAGCTTGGTGGTCGTGAGTGTTTCAGGGAGAGATGAGGAAATGCGGATCTGTGTGTGCCTGAGTTAGGGCTGTGTGCCCAATCCCCGGGCTGTGGACCGGGACCAGTACTGGTCTGTGGCCTGTGAAGAACCGGGCCCAGCAGCAGGATATGAACGGCAAGCTAGTGAGCAAAGCTTTATCTGTATTTATAGCCATGCCCCATCACTTGCATCACCGCCTGAGCTCTGCCTCCTGTCAGATCAGTGGCAGCATTACATTCTGCAGTATGATGAGTTGTATAATTATTTCATTATATATTACAATGTAATAGTAATAGAAATAAAGTACACAATAAATGTCATGTGCTTGAATCACCCGGAAACCATCTCTCCACCCTAGGCTATGGAAAAATTGTCTTCCATGAAACTGGTCCCAGGTGCCAGAAAGGTTGGGACTGCTGATGGGGTGACATCTGTTTCCTAGCTCTGTCCACGGAGGGGCCTCAGCACAGGGACACCAGCAGCGGTGAGCAGAGCCAGCCCAGGTCGTGGTATCTAACGGCTCCTGAGAGAAGGGGTTGATCTCAGAGCTAGAGTGGGGCAAATGAAAGAGTGAGCCTAGGGCATCTTGTGGTGCCCTAAAGTGAATAAATGCTGGAGAAAGGGATGGAAACATATTGGGTGTCCGAGGGCAGAGGCTGTGGAGCAGAGCATGGGCAGTGACAGCAGTGGGCTACAGCCTGGAGAAGTGAGTGTCTGCGTCGTGCTCATACAAACACACGGCTGAGCATAAGCGAGGTTGAAGGAACAATCTGCCTTACAGAAGAATTCCAGTTAACAGGTGTAGGGGAGGGATAAGGGCAATAGAAAATCACCGTTAGAAACCACCATGAGGATGTTGCCTAATTCTGAGCTGCTCTGCACCCTGTGGCCGCCCCCAGGTCAGCCCCACCTGCGGAGTCCGCTGGGGTTGGGGGGTGCCCCCGGGGAGCCTCAGCCAACACAGTCTGGGCCCAGCGCCTGTGGGCAGGGTCTGGGTCATGTTCGGCGTGTCCTCGGGCATCTCCCTCTCAAGCACGCCGGCTGGGGTGCCAGTGATGCCATCTCCCTGGACTGAGCTCAGCGGGCTGTCCTTGCTTCTCCTTCCACGTCCTGTTTTCATTTCTGTGACACTTCCTGGAGGACCATGTATTTCTGCTTTTCCTTTGATATGTTTGTGATTTAGTTAGAAAAGCCTTTTGAGATTCGAAAGCTTCTGCGTTCAGTATTTGAATCACTGACAACGAACCAGTGAGGGATGAAGCGTGAGATGCAAGCATAAACACATCTCCACACGTTGGTGTTACGCAGTGTGTGCCACAAAGCAGGACGTCTGTGTCTTTTTCAAATGCACCTTTGCTTGTCTCCATGGTTTACGCCTCCTGCCAGTGCTGTTTAAGTCTGTTCTGACAGAAATAGTCACTTGGCAAACTCAGATAGTTTTATTAAAAGTAAATACTGGTGAGTGGAAAGAGGCTTGTATACAATTTTCTTGTCAAAGTACTGCAACGGGGCAATAAGGACTTTTAGTTTCTTCGTTTCGAGTATTATTCTCACATGCCCAGCCAGCAGCTTGTTAACAGTGTGTCAAAAAATAAGAATTTTTCACATTTTTAGTTTCGAGGGTGTGGATCTGTTTATGGGTTTTTTGTTTTTTGTTTTTTAAAGAAAAGGTGTTCAAGTTGTTATTACCTTATGATTTTATTTCCTTATTCCATAAAAAAAGAAATATTGGAAAACCTTTTAATTAAGTGTATTTTAATGGAAAAAAAATGTTTTGCTTCACCTGGTTTCAGTTAAGTGCCTTAACTGCGTATTTGGTGGATGATTAATAAAATGTTCAGTACAGTAATAATTAAGTTAAATCTTTAAAAATAAAGTTGAGTCTTTATTCAACACTGGATCAGAGATGCAGCAGGTCATTCGTATCCAGTATCATACTGCCACTAACTTTTTTCCAGGGTTTTTATAGTTTTCTAAAAATAATCTCTGTGTTTTAATAAAGCATTTTGACACTACTTGGTTGAGCATATCAAGATCCTTGGGAAAGTCTAAAACGTGTTCGTCCCCTTCGGGTGTAACATTCTCAAAAGAACCAGAATACACATCAGATTTTTCAAAACAAAAAAATGTACTGGGCATTACCTTTGTAATTTTGTGTCTGTGAAAATTAACTAGTACTTTCTGAATTTAACATGATTTTTATTTTGTTCTCCTGAATTGCAAACCAAATATTTATTGCATTCTCTTAAGAAAAGCCAAATGAAGATCTCCCTGAAAAAATATTTTAATAGGATATATTTTTATTTCAGTGTCTTAAGTAGTGAAGATGAAGAAATATTCAACGATGAGGAGCAAGAATATGCATCCAAAAAAAGGAAAAAGGACCATTTTAGAAATGACACAAATGCTCAAAGTAAGATTATTTTCACTGATGATTTTCTGATATTTTACTTGTTGAGTATGTTGAAATACTAAATTGCTTTGGCAGGGCCATTTTATGAAATAAAAGATGATACAGAAGTGTAAACAGCAGCACGGTATCCAGGGCTGCCCACTGAGTCAGTGATGGTACTTTTTGTAGCTCAGCCACTTCAGCTGGTAAGATGTGAGATGGCAGAACCCACAGAAGAGCCCAGGCCTCTGATGACGGAATCACAGTCATGATTCGGTTCACTCCTGAGCAGCCAGGCCACACGGGGCGTCCTCACTGGTGCAGGAGTCAGACACGGTCAGAGCACTGGTGTAGGACGCTGGAAGCTGTGGCTGGGCCGGAGGTGGGACGGCTGGAGGTGACACTGCGGGCACTGCCTCAGGCACAACCTCGAGCCCAGATGTAGTGTGGCCCCGGGAGGATGGGCCCCAGGAGATGCCTGAAACTACAGAGAGGACCAGCCCTCAGGTGCTGTTTGTTTCTGCAGACACACCTGTGGCAAAGTTTAATCTGTAAGTTAGGCATAGGAGGAGATTAACAATGACTGATGATAAAAAGAACAGTTATGGCAACATGCCAATATCACTGCTCTTGCGCTTTGGGGCTGTCATGGAGTAGAATAAAGGTGACCTGAACACAAGCACTGCGACACTGCCACAGGCAGTCACTGCCATGACTCTGGTGGCTCCTGAGTGACCAATGGGCAGGCAGCATAGACAGTGTGGTTCACCACAGGGAGAGGTCTGGGCCCGGCAGAGCAGGATGGCAGCGTGAGATGTCACCACGCTACTCAGAATGGCACACAATTTAAAACCTGTGAGTTCTTGTCTAAATTTTCCGTTTGATATTTTCAGACCATAATTGATCCATGGGTAACCGAAACTGCAGGATTAAGGCCGTGGCTGAGGGGGGACTACTGTAGGAAGAACATGGGGTCACACGGTAAAGGTAGCCATCGTGACTCTTGAAGCTCTGGGTTTTGAGTTAGGTGAAAAATTTGTTTCTATGGAGTATCATGTAGAGCAATAGAAGAATAGAACTTTTTAGGGTACATAAGAATTTATTAATAACTTAATTGCATTTTTGTAATCATTTGTGTTTTCATATAACTCCAGTCATTAATAATACTAGTTTTCTTCCAAGTTACTAGGCCTTGGCACTGTCTTAAATCATTTTTCATGTGAAGGTGTTTCAGCACCTCTCAAACTGATACTAGGAAATAAGCAATTCCGTTTGCATTTAACCAAGTAATAGCATCTCTTGCACAGTAAGTCAGATAGTTTTGTTAACATGTCCAATTATTAAAATTCCTTTAAAATCTTCATTTTGAAATGATTTGCCACATTGTAAAAACAAAATTAATTTTCATTCTAGGTTTTTATCGTGAAAAATGGATCTATGTCCATAAAGAAAGCACAAAAGAAGTAAGTATTCTATTGTAAATAAGAGTGTATCTTGGATTGTTTCTGTTGAACATGTCACATTAAATAAACATGTAAAGTGACAAATTATTTATTTTACAATATCAGATCTACGGTTCGGTTCACAGTCTAACTGATGAAAGCATAGGAGAAGCTTTGGAAGCAGCAATTATCAATCGTGTGTGCATTTTGTGTGTGGTGTGTGTGGTCGTATGTGTGCAGTGTGGTGTGCATGTCATTGTATGGTGTATGTATGTGGCGTGTCTGGTATGCCTGTGTGCCTGTGCAGTGTGTGGTGTGTGTGGCTCCTGTCCCCCGGCATGTACCTGCATCAGGGGGGCGGGGGGGACTATTGGAAACTGCGCATGGAATCCTGCGACGCTGCATTGTGTTTTCTGGGTGCTGCTGGGACATCCACCTCCAGCGTGCGGGGGTTAGGGCGTCAGGAGCCCTCTCTCTCGTGGAGAGTGGCTGATCTGAGCTTAGGGACCACTGTTGTGTCTGTGCGAAGCGTCCTGGACTCTCCCTGCTGCTCTTTGGCCAAGTTGGCTCAAGCTCTTTTTATGAGCCGTGAAACAAGCCAGTTCCCTGGAAGAGCTTTCCTGCTTCTCTACTTAGCATCAGGGAGGCTTGGCTCCTTTTATAGTCCTAGAACTCTGCATTTGCTGTATCGTGCGGCAGTTGGGGGTGTGTGATTCAGGGAGCGATTGTTCATCATCTGCTATGTTAGGGTAACTTAAATATTCCAGAAATGTGAATAGTGGATGTTCTGAAACTGGCCCAGCTCCTAGAAGTTTAAGGATTAGATTCTGAGAAAGAAAACTTACTCGATCTATTTGGTGATGGTTAATGGGTGTAAAGCTACGCTGATCCTTGGCATACACTCTGCCATGCCATTAGAAATTGTTTGACAGAACATGACCTAGGTCGTGAAAAACAAAGCTGAGAGCTTAGGAAAGACCATTAAGCATTTCATCTGCTGCGTGTTACACGCTCAGCACAGAGCAGAGAATACCATTTGAACTAGCACAAACAATGAGAGGGGAGTTCATCGTGAGGCCAAGGGATGTTCCCTGGATCCTGGGAACGGCTAGGACGGGACCAGCGCTAGGACCTGGAGTGGTGTGTTGCTGCATCTCGTCCTGTGCCCTCACCAGGTCTCTGCTGCGGCCCCGTGGCTTCCCAGGTTGCGTGTTGTGGTTCAGACATTCTCTTTGTGGTCCTCTCTGTGAATCAGATTTCATTTCCTGTTGTGAGTGTGTGGCTACCTCGGAAAGGTGTCTGCACCATCGTTTAGAATTGCTTGAGAAGAGAAAGCAAGCAGGGATGGTAGCTGTGAAGGTTTCCAGTTGTAACCTCTCTCTAACGTAACTTCCTCCCCCAGCTTCCAGGAAAGTGTCCTGCCTGCTGCACAGGGCGTCAGGGTATCACCTGTATCTAACAGACCTCTCACTCCAGCTCCTGGGAAAATGCCCCGCGTGTAGCAGACACTCAGTAAACGTATTTGGATGTGGATTTGTGTGCACTTGATGATGGTGCTTGGGATTTGGGCGCAAAGCCACCAAGCCTCTGCATGCGTCTGTCACTGGAGGCTAGGGTGTCGCTGCTCTCGCCACTTCCTCTAAACCATACCAGGACATCTGTTGGAGACTTGAGGAGTCCCCTCGTGTTTTCCATTATTGTTCTCCAGTGTACTATCCCCACAACTTTGCATTGAAAATATATTTATATATTTCAAGTATTTCAAATACAGAGGATGGAGGTGGAGTTTAAAATGACTCCTGAAAGCTCATGTGTAAATCTGTACAAACCAATGTAGAATATAGGGTATATCATTGAAGAAAAACACCTGAAATAGAATAGCAGTGTTGGCAGTACTGAAAATAAATTGTTTCATTTTATTCCTTTGATTCTTGGACTTGTGGGTCTAATGACCAGCTTCTTGGGTGTTTTGGGTGCCCACATCCATGCTCCCAGCCTGGAAGCTGCCCGTGGTCGTGTCCCACGCTCGCCTGCAGCCGTCTACTTCAGCACTGTTTCTCAGGGATGCTTTCCTCCTGCCCGGGTGCCTCTCCAGGCCTTGAGCCTTTGTGGGTGAGCGTACTCCCAGCCCGGCAGCACATGCCTCCCCCACATAGAAATCCTGTGTTTCAGCTATACGTGAGTAACACCTGCATCCTTGCAATATGCTAAGCAGGTGATTGGCGTGTTGTGTTTTATAACCTAGAATATATCCAGTGTTTTAATTTGATAAATATTTTTCTTTGTCATGACATCAGTAGTGGTGTAAAAAATGTCAGTTCATAGTGTCTGGAATACACATAAACAGCTTAAATTTAGCAGTGCTATGTGCTCTCATCTAAATCGGAAATCAATCTTCAGCATAAAAAAACAAATGTCCTCTGCGAAAATTAAAAATTTCACAGTCTAATTGACATTAGCTGTCAGTTCGTTTTGGCTAATTAACTAATCTTAACTGTTTTGTGTTCCTTTCCCAGAGGCATGGCTATTGTACCTTGGGAGAAGCCTTTAATCGGTTAGACTTCTCAAGTGCAATTCAGGATATCCGAAGATTTAATTATGTGGTCAAAGTAAGTGATTTATTCCAAATCTACTTTAAGGACTCTTTGAATAACTGTATTTTGGAGATTGCAAGTTTACAATGTTTTAAGATGCTTGTGGCAGCTGTGTAAAGGTGCACCTGCTTACGGTGCAGAGAATCAAAAAGGGTACTTGGTTCAGGAGAAAATGGTGAGAACTGAGGATTTCCCAGTGTTGGGGTCATGGGTGGCGGGACCCCCAGGTGTGCCCTCACCTGCCCATGGCTCTGTGTTGCGGAGGGATCGTGCCACAGGCCTGTGCACAGCAGCAGAGGTGGGTCGATCGTGGGGTCTGCACCTGATGATTTCGCATGTGTTAACCTGCGTGGTTTTCACAGAGAATGAGCTGTGTTTCATAGAGGAAGAACTAGCTAATAGAAAAGAAAGGATTTTGTACAAAATAGAACTCTACAAAGGCCTCATTGCATTAATGATTTCTTTTTAGGAGAAGTTTTTATCCTGGGCTATATTCAAAAAGAAAGTTCTTACTTGTATGAAGAATAATTACTGTGTGGTTTATTCAGCAGGAGGAAAGAGTGTTCTAGGAGGGGCTCTCGGGAATAGCGGGGGCTGCTGTTCTTATTCCTCAAGAAAACGATCTGTCTGGTAGATTATCTTATAGTGATTTTTTGTTGTTTCGTAGATATTCTGCAAATTGTTTGTATTAATATTATTATCTGATGAAAGTTGTTTTAGTTTTTCTTTTTCTTTTTCTTTTTTTTTTTTTTTGAGACAGTCTCACTCTGTTGCCCTGGCTAGGGTGCCGTGGCGGCAGCCTAGCTCACAGCAACCTCAGACTCCTGGGCTCAAGCGATCCTCCTGCCTCAGCCTCCCCCAAGTAGCTGGGACTACAGGCACGCGCCACCATGCCCAGCTAATTTTTTTCTATTTTTAGTTGTTTGACCAGTTTCTTTCTATTTTTAGTAGACACGGGGTCTCGCTCTTGCTCAGGCTGGTCTTGAACTCCTGAGCTCAAGAAATCCACCCGCCTCAGCCTCCCAGAGTGCTAGGATTACAGGTGTGAGCCACTGTACCTGGCCTGCTTTTTCTTTTTAATTTCCAGATGGAAGGCTGTTTGATTTTCTGATTTTTCTGGTCAGCAAACAACAGCAAGTCTGGATGTAGTCTTGAAAAATATCTGTTAGTGGCCAGGCTCCATTCTGGCCTCTTTCTGGTGGGCCGCTGTGCTGTGGAGGTTGGAAAGCTGAGAGCTACGTTTCACACACTCTTGCAGCTAGGATTCTGGGAGGAGATTAGCATTCACTAGCTAAATGCACTGATGCGAGATTGGAAAGTAGAAGCTGCTGCTGCCTCAACTTCCTTATATTAAATTCTCAAGAAGGGGGGTGCAGGTGGGGAGGGGTAAAAACTTACCTAAGGTACAATGAACACTATTCAGGTGATGGGCATTATAAAAGCTTAAGCATTATAAAAGCTATCCATGTAACAAAAACATTTGTACCCCCTTAATATTTTGAAATTAAAAAAAAAAATTCTTTCAGGTTAACGCAGGTGGTGACTATTTCCTACAACTGGACTCAGGCCGACACAGTGACTTCGTTTAGAATGCCACGTGTTAGTGTGCCTTCATGGTTTTGTGACACATCAGTGTGGTTTGTGTTTCCATGATAGATTTAGATATTCTCAGCTTTTCTCCTCTTCCCTTTCAGCTACTGCAGCTAATTGCAAAATCGCAGTTAACGTCACTGAGTGGTGTGGCACAAAAGAATTACTTCAACATTTTGGATAAAATCGTTCAGAAGGGTAAGATGATCACTGATGTTTTTAATAATCTAAATCTTAATTAGAATTGTGGTGCAGGGAAATGGGATTTTTTTGTCTCTCCCCGATGTGTGTGCTGCCCAAACAGTGGTGTAGACACTGGTGCCATCAGACAGGAGCACAGGTTGTCCCTCCCAGTGTCACTGCGTTTACTTTTCTTTAAGTTGCTTTTGCACACAAAGGGCTATATTAGGAAAAATGACTAATCCCAGAGTTTTAAAAAACTATTTTACCTTTTCATGGTTAGCTAATCACAGTGCATTTTAGCTGTATGGTTCCACAATTAGCAAGATGGTGACTTACTCATGTAAGCATCAGATAAACCAATTATTTTCTGTTTAATCAGCTTGCCTTGATTAATTAGTGGCTATTAGTAAATGAAACTTTAAATTTCACACCGTGAGTTTATGCATATATAGGAATTTATGGCTATATGTATTAAGCCATTTTAAAATATTCTCATTATACTTGCAAAAATCTCGAAAATGATGCCACTTTGGGTTTCAGTGAAAGTAGATCTTTTTTACTGTATAAAATACACATAACATCAAATTGGCCATTTTTTTTTTTTTTTGGAGACAGAGTCTCACTGCGTTGCCTGGGCTAGAGTGCCGTGGCGTCATCCTAGTTCACAGCAACCTCAAACTCCTGGGCTCAAGCTATCCTTCTGCCTCAGCCTCCCGAGTAGCTGGGACTACAGGCATGCGCCACCATGCCCGGCTAATTTTTTCTATGTATTTTTAGTTGTCCGATTAATTTCTTTCTATTTTTAGTAGAGACGGGGTCTCGCTCTTGCTCAGGCTGGTTTCAAACTCCTGAGCTCAAACAATCTGCCCGCCTCGGCCTCCCAGAGAGCTAGGATTACAGGCGTGAGCCACTGCGCCCAGCCTAAAATTGGCGATTTTTAAGTGTACAGTTCAGTGGCATTAAGTCTACGTACGCTATTGTGCACCATCACCACCATCCATCTCCAAACCGAAACTCCGTCCCCGTTAAACACTAACTCGTCAGCCCGATGGCCGTCATTCTTCTTTCTCCCTGTGACTTTGGCTGCTCTGGGTGCCTCATGTAAGTGGGATCATGCACTGCCTGTTCTTCTGTGACTACCATATTTCACTTAGTGTGATGTCCAGGATCTATCCATGTTGAAGCATGTGTCGGAATTTCCTTCTGTTATGTATGTGTAGACCGTATGTTGTCTGTCTGTTCATCTGTCGATGGACATTTGAGTTGTGAAACTAGACTATTTTTAAAGGCTGTGGTTAACTGTATCATCCAGTTTTGGTTTTTTTTATTTCAGTCCTCGATGACCACCACAATCCTCGCCTGATCAAAGATCTTCTCCAAGACCTGAGCTCTACCCTCTGCATTCTTATCAGAGGACAGGGGAAGTCAGAATTGGTGGGAAACATCAACATTTGGATTTGCCGATTGGAAACTATTCTCACCTGGCAAGAGCAGCTGCAGAATCTCCAGATGACTAAGGTATGAATATCCTGACGTAACAGGTACTGCTCTCTGCTTTGATGTCACAGAAGTCATTACCTCTTCATATGAGAGACTGTTGCAGCGTTTTGGAAGTTTGGTTTTTTTTTGTTTTTTTGTTTTTTACCTTTTCACAAGTATTAAATTGTTTCAAAATAGAATTGAACCAAAAGACCCCATAATGGCTTATAGTTATTGTTGGAAAGACTATGGGTGGTAACCATCAAACAGGGCTGATCTGTGGGGGATTAGGTGATAAATTAATTCACCTTTAAAGGAAAATAAGTATTTCAGTTATTAATATAACATTTAATAAATCATATAGCCAGTAATTCTCCATTTATCTAGTTGTTGCTTCTCTAGGATGAGTAGTTTTTTCGCCTCTTGCTGTCTTGCGGGCGGAATGGGGATGTGTGTATAGTTCATTGGCAACAGCAACCAAAGCAAAAAGCAAGTGCAAATCATGTCAGTTGTTTTGATATTTTTTATTTATTCTGGTAATTTGTTTCAACAAGGAAAACATCAACACCATTGATTAGTTTTAGATTGTGTATTATTTATCTCTAGTCCTAATAAGAGAAAGAATAAACTGAATGTATACTTCAGTGGCATAAGTTATGTGGCCTTTGTGGTGTAAATGAGTCCCCAAATTGTACCGGCTGGGTCATGTTACCTTTTACTAATGTCACTACAGCCTAGGTTCCAGTGAAGGGAGCCGTTTCCAAGTGACCTTGGAATGCCTTAATTTTTGGTCATTTATTTGCCATCTAAATACAGTATTTACAGAAAGAGTAGTGGTTTCCTAATTATGAGTCTGAAATTATTACTAATAACCTAGTATTCGGTGCCAGTAAGAGCTAAGCACATTTTGCGGTAAACGTTGGACTGTTGTTTTACACATGACACTGCCGGTAACTCAGCGCTCTCCATGGTCCGGCCCTGCACCAGCCTCGTTCCCCATGCAGAGCTGCGTCCTGTCATAAAGGCCCATCTGCAGCAGGGTGAGTAAACGTGCACGTGGTGTGCTGCAGATGCCCTGGCGTAACAGCCTGGCCCTGTGGCCTGGGTCCCCTCCACAGCATAGTGACGACGCACCGGAGAGTGAGGCCTGTTGTCCACAGTGGGGTTTCAGTGGTCGGGATCCCTAAGGAAGAGGATGTCTGGGAGAGGCCAGGGAGCAGTCTTCCTGGTCTGGCTAGAAGTTGCCGGTGGGGCTTAGCTGCTGTGCGTCATTTAGAGAGAAACGTAGATTAATGACGGGCTCAGAACGGTAAGGATAGGAGAGAAACTGCAAGGATGGACCAACACATATCCCGAAGGGGAAAGGGAAGAGAGAGCCAGGATAGGTGTTTTCTTTTTGCCTAAAGGGAAAGGCACGCATGCGCACTGAGCTCCCACGTGGGTCTCATTTTCACTACACTGGCCAGGCACAGGAGCAGGCAGAGGGCCGTGAGCGGGCACCCCGTGGGGAAGACGCTCTGCTTTTGGCCTGGGGTGGGTCACACAGCCCTGGCATCTCCTGTATGCCTTGGCGTGGAAGCCCGGTGCCACCATCACGCTGTTCTGAGCAAGTGGGGAAAATAAGCTGCAAAAACGGAGGAATGAGAAGGAGCGACGACTGCTTGGCGGTGCTGGTTGTCCTGTCCCCGCACATCTTACACCTGAGACCAAGCTGGCTGCTTCTGGTTCTTCCGTGGCTTGCGGGTTGCTGAGGTCTTTCCTGCACGCCCTTGGGCTTGTCTGCCCCGGGTGGGAGATGCGGTGGGGCCCTGTGCCCTGTGTCCAGCCTCGGGGTGGCTGATGGTCAGATGCTGCAGTTGGTCGGAGGACTTTGACCTTTCTGGGAATGTTACTGGAGAACAATGGAAAGAGCTTCCACATCAAATCCCAGAGCTGTGTTTGTAAAAACCAGACTGGGTCTGCCGAGTGGGTCTGGAGCTGCTGAGGACGGGGAGTCCTGGTTTGTACCCACCGGCTGATGGTGCGTTGCTGCCTAGGCTGGAGTGCGGTGACGGCATCACAGCTCACTGTAGCCTCCAGCTCCTGGCCTCAGTCAGTCCTCCTGCCTCAGCCTCCCAAAGTGCTGGGACTGCAGATGTGAGTCATTGCCGCCTTGGCCCCTCTTCAGTTTGGGGTCATGTGAGCAGATGAGGGCAGAGCCGCCGGGGGCATCCACGACTCCTGTGGGCGAAGTCCGAGCGCTCTGCATGAAGTGCAGCCATCTCAGCCTCACGGGGTGCCGGGCCGGTTTTCTCCCGTGAGCTGACAGCCTTCTTTCTCTTCTAAATGCTCCTAACGAAAAATACACTGATAACCCTTAAATCTAAATTCTCATACTCTGAAAAGTAAGCAGAAACTTTGTATATGTTAGCATCAAAAGATTCTAAGAACATTAGAAATGCTGCTTTTCTCTTGTAAAACAAACATACTTTGCTTTTTAAGCTATGTTGAAGGTACAGTAGTGCTGATAAACTTGAATTTTTGTATTTATATCTCCTCGTGTCTTCCCCGTGACCCAGTTAGGTGGGTACACAAATACGTGCTCCATGTGCCAGGCTCACCGTGAGGTGGACACATCCATTAGCAGGTGTGGCCATCAGCGTCGGACCCCTGAGGGCCCAGGGAGCTGTGTGGGGCACACAGGGTGGCCCGGCAGGGCTGGGTGTGGTAACAGGTGCACACAGGGCTGTTGACAGGTTACATCGACCCACAAATGCTGTGGCACTTCAGGTGGAGCTTTGTGAATGGGTAGGACAGGCCCAGGTGCTGTGTGCTGGTCAGGGCTCAGCAGCGCTGTGTGGGGACAAGAGCCCTGGTCTGTACCAGTGGTCAGTTTCCCACGACGACGGATTTCAAGCCACCAACAAAAGGTAAATTGGCTCACAAGATGCAGAACTGGCTGCTGCGAGCAGGTGTGGGTGGCTCCGGCCTGCCACTGGGTGTAGGGGCAGAGAGAACCTCACAGCCAGAGGTGTGGGAAACGTCTGCACTTAGGGGCTAACACAGCGTGGTGTCACGTGCCTGGGAGAAGTGCAGGAGGTTGGACGGACGTGGGCTTGGCAGGTGTTGAAGAGCATCTGCTGTTCTCTGCTCGAGGGCCCCTGGAGGTCTGTGTGCAGGGGGACCGCTGGGCCAGGGCAGAGGGGAGCAAACCCCCACTGTAGTCGTGAGGATGATTTGGGGAGATGCTTTAGAGGACGGTTAGACAGCACTTGGCGACTTTGCAAAGGGAGGGACGGAGGGAGACCACAGGGAGACGTCAGGGCCACCCACCTGCCTGGCTGGGGACAGCCCTCCCTGGAGGTGCGCAGCGCCCTCAGGAGCACAGTGGGGCCAGGCCACCTGGCACCAGGCTAGGTGCTGGACCCCATCTTGGGCAGCTCCCATCCCATCTGTAGCTCAGTTTTCTTCTGTGTAAAATGGAGTAGTAATAGTAGGACAGATTTCTGTCAGCAGAAGTGCTTCCGCAGAGAAGTAGGAGTCATTGGTATTCGAACACAATGGCTGGACTATCCAGAAGCAGGAAAATCAGCTCAGGTAGATGGGAGAGATCACACCACGGCAAAGAGCATGTAGCCAGCCAGTGCAGGCAGTGTGATTTCTGTGTGTTGTTGAGCAAGACTTTTTTTTTTTTTTTTTTTTTGAGACCGACTCTTGCTCTGTCACCTGGCTGGAGTGCGGTCGTGTCATCACAGCTCACTGCAGCCCCAGCCCCTGGGCTCAAGGGATCCTCCCACCTTGGCCTCCCAAAGTGCTGGGACTACAGGTGCGAGCTACTGTGCCTGGCCTGAGCAAGACTTTTGGGTCACGTTATATCTGAATGGCAAGATACTATTTAGGAGAACAGCACTGGCATTTCTGCTACACCCTCTGGTTATCGGCGTACCAGGGCTATAAATCTGGATCTGCCAGAAAACCCCGGCACCTGGCTGTCACGCAGACTCTGTAATTCGTTACTGACCCAGGATGTTTTTCTGCCATTTCGTACCACCTGAAGCTTTGTGATTTTAGCAGCAGAATCTCTTTAAATGCCTGTCTGGTAGAAATTTCCCTCAATGGGAAGAAGGAAACACCTGTTCAAAATAAGATTTAATTCTTACAAGAGTGTTAAGACCATTAGTTGGGGATTAGTTTGCGTACCTGTTATTTCTTGTATCCACTCTCCGCCATGCGCTGGACAGCAGAGGAGGAAGGGCTCATAAAGCTCGAATCAAACATGCCCAGAGGCGTCAGTAGTGACTTGCACTCAGATGTGTCTGCTGTGCGCTGCAGGGGCTGCCCCACGCGTGGTTCCCGTCAGCTGTGGGGGCAGTGACACGGCGCGAGGCCGTGAGTGTGGAGGGACGGCCGTGGGCGGGACAGCACAGGTGCAGCCACGAAAGTGACAGTCGCATCAGAGCGCAGAGTGCTGGAGTGTTTCGTGGACCTTCAGCCAGGCCGAGACCCATGGGGCCGGGCGGCGCTCGATGCCACGTGAGGTAGATCAGGACAGTCCCGCGGCCGCCCACCCTGGGGCTGCCCACCAGGTGCTCTCAAAGTTTCCCTCAGCAGTTCCGTTTCCCAAGTCCTGGGAAGGAATTTCCACAGCAGGAGGAGGCAGGGAGTCGGGCGCAGGCTCACCCCTCTCCTTCACCCACCGTCCACGGAGGCCAGGGGATTTCAGACCCAGACTCAAGGGATTAACTCATTCTAGCCAAAAATGGACAGTCCGTGTCCTTCCGAACAGTAGGATCAGGGAAGGAAAGCCACTGTCCTCGCGCTGGGCAAGTGTGTGACCTTGTGAGCGCACGTTGTGCAGGCAAGGTCGGGGGCTGTGGCGCCACCTCGGTTTCTCAGCACCCCTGCTCCCCACTTGGCCCGACAGGCAGGACCCAGCGCCCTCCCAGACAGAGGAGCTTCTGTGAGAAGGGAGGCGAGTGAGACTGCGTAACTGTGGCCTGAAAGGGCTGAGCCCAAACCCACCCCAGGGCTGCCCAGGGCAGGGTTGGCCTCCCGGCTGGGCCCAGCCACCCTTCCCCAGCACAGGACCACACGCGTGTACTCTGCTGGAACTGGAAGTCACAGGAATTGAAGGCTGGAAGGTGGCCAGTGTTGGACAAAGGGTGCAGAGTTTCTGGGCTACAGGAGGAGGGGTCCTGGAGGTCTGTCACAGGCCGGCCGTGGGGATGGTCACATAGTGCTAAGTTCAGATTTGCTGAGAGAGGCGATCTGTAGTGTTCTCAGCACAGAAGATTACTGTGTTAGGTTGACCGTGGTAGTCATTCCATAACATGTGCGAACGCTGAAACATCACGCACTGTAAATATATACAATGTTTATGTCAGTTACACCTCAGTAAGAAAAGTTAAAAATTTTGAATCACAAAAACAAATACAAACAAAGCTGGAACAGGCCCTGCAGACGTGATCAACCCTCTCATCTCTGGGTGAGCAGCCACGCCCCAAAGCCCCCATGCACCCAGGCCCCCGACGGGGCACAGGGCATTCCCGGCCGGGTCCCTTGCCCGTGTGACGTTCGACTCGTGCTGTCAGCAGTTCTGCATTCGTCTAGACGCCACAGTCGAGTCCTGCTCCTGGTGTGGAGAGTGAGTGGAGGTGAGGTGGAAGCAGCTGGCGCCAGCCCTGCCCAGGCCCTTCACGCCTGCGAGGGGTGGGGCACAGTGACGCCTGGACCAAGAGCTCCTCTGGGACTGGGTGCCTTGCAGTGCTCGTCGGAGCCTGAGCACCACGTCTGTGTGAGCAGATGCTGCGAACTGTCTGCTCAGTGACACGGCGTGTCTCTCCTTCCAGCAGGTGGACAGCAGGCCGACGCTGAGTGACCTTCCTCTGCACATGCTGAACAACATCCTGTACCGCTTCTCGGACGGCTGGGACATCGTCACTCTGGGCCAAGTGACCCCCACGCTGTACATGCTCAGCGAGGACAGGCAGCTGTGGAAGAGGCTGTGTCAGTACCACTTTCCTGAAAAGCAGGTGAGTGCAGCGCAGCCACGTCCCTGCAGCCTCAGGGGAGGGGCCGGCTGTCCCCTTCTGAAGCATCAGGACCGGTCAGAAGCTACTGAAATCCCTTATGGTTTCTCCTCTATAAAGCATAAGGTTTATCCTTCATATTCAGAAAGAAACATATTAATAATTCTAAAAATAAGCCAAAACCAAGCATCAGAGCAAGAGCTGACCAGGGGTACCAGAGCCTCTGCCTCTCCTCCTCATCCACGGGGTCTGCACACCCTGAGCAGCTGTGAGCTCTCATGAAGCTCACTTGGTCCCTGTCGGCACCTGGGTAGGGGCAGCACAAGCGTGTCCAAGTGTAACTCACTCGGGGCCTAATTCCTTGTCACAGCAAAGCCCCGTGGTCACCATCACCAGGCCTCTGCGGGACTTGGTGTCCCTCCCTCACCCCACAGACGTCCACTCCCATGTATATATCACATTTTGTTTATCTGTTCAACAGGTGATGGATGTTTGGTTTGTTTCATAAAAGTTTAAGGCTTTTGCAATAATGCTGCTGTGAACATTCACGAATGAGTTTGTGTACGGACGCGTTTTCATTTCTCTTGGGTGTGCACCTAGGAGTGGAGTGTCTGGGTCGCACAGTGACTCTGTGTTTAACTTTGAGGAACTGCCAGACTGTTTTCCAAAGTGGCTGCATCATTTTACATCCCACAACCGTGCGTGAGAGTTTCCAATTTCCACATCCTCACCAGCACTTGTGATTATCTGATCTGATTTTAGCCATCCTCGTGGGCACGAAGTGCGGTCTCATTCCACCTCCCCGAGGACTGGGTTACTGAGCATCTTTTCATGAGATTGGCTGTTTGCATATCTTTCTTTGGAGAAATGTCTTTTCAAGTCCTTTCTCCATTTTTAAATTGGTTTATTGTCTTTTTATTATTGAGTTGTGTTTATATATTCTAGATGCAAGTTCCTTATCCAATATGTGATGTGTGTAATTGCTTCTAACTTAATAATATATCACAGACTTCACTCCAGACAAGAACATTTAATCCGTCTAGTAAGACACTTGGTGTTCCGTCATATGGACGTACCATGATTTGTTTGATTTGTGCCTTACTGATTGAATTCACGTAAGTTTAATTTCAAATAGTTAAATGTTTCATGTATGATACTGCCTTTTAAAAATAGTTTTGTGCCTGATGCTACGCTTTGAAAATCACCTTCTGATTCTGAACAGAATTTTGTTTGTGTTTAGTTTTGCAGACATTTGATCCTTTCGGAAAAAGGCCATATCGAATGGAAGTCGATGTATTTTGCACTTAAGAAATATCACCCAACCAAAGAGCAGTACGGAGACACTCTGCACTTTTGCCGGCACTGCAGCATTCTCTTTTGGAAGGTAGTAATTTAAAATATACTCTTGGAATTTGAGGATTGAAATTTGGTGAAACTATTCACCTATATCGTAAGCGTGAAGGTAAAAAAAAAAGAAAATGGAAAGTACCGTTTATGATAAGAAACATCAAATATTGGGGCCGGGGAACAGGCGTCCATAAAAGTAAAATGTGCTCTTGGCACCTGTGGTTTGGGTCAGAACTGGCGTGTGGTGCTCTTCCCCGCGGGCCCCTTTCTCCCTCACGGCATCGTGTGTGGGAGGCGTGTCCCGGAGCAGAGGAGGCTCTGGGTGCCCCTGACTGTCCTCGGCCTGGGACAGAGATGGGCTTCCCGTCCCCTCCCACGGATCTTGGGAGGAGTCGCCTGAGGATGGCGCCCGTGTCCACAGGGGCCAGGACGGGTCTCGGGCCCCTGGTCAGTGCAGAGGGTCCACACACGAGTCACAGCCTTTAAAATAACCTGCGCTTGTTCATTTATTTGATCAAAACTTGACAAGACCGTCATTACCTATCCGCAAGTCTGATCCTTTAGTGAAAGACTTAGGATTGTTGTCTTCGGCAATCTCAGTACCCAAGGAGTAGAGTGGGAGCCTCCATCCTGTCTCACTCGCTCACCAGACGTCCCCGACAATGTTTCCAGTCAGAGGTGAATGTCTGTGTACCACTCCCTTGGAACAATTATTTTCTTAACATATTAATACTGTTTCACCCTGGAATGCATTTCCACGGTTTGATGTCGGGGGAAAAGCATTGAAACCGTAGAAGCCCCGTCCCTGGAGTGGCCCCACACCCTGACCTGTGAGCTCCAGGTCTCAAAGGTAGTCTCCTGCCCATCCCTGCTCAGGAACCGGTTCCCGCAGCGATGGGCTGTCTCTGCCTCCCGCCGCCTCTGGGCCTGGGGAGATGAGGCTTTCGACTGGTAGATGCCATAACCTGTTTTGATTATTTCTTTTGCTTTCAATTTATCTAAATTTGTTATCAGATAAGTCACCAGGCAAGCTATAGCTTGTTGGAAAACAGACAACTGCTTTTAATATTCTATATTTCAAATCACATTTATACTAGGGTGGCTTTTGAAATTATAGTCTATGGTTGAGCAAAGATTTTGAGTTGTTCTTGTATTATGTCAAGAGTTTAGTTTATCAGAGGTGAGTAGCATCATGCTGTTACTGATGATGCCTTCACGCATGAGTAACTTGAGATTTTGTTATTTCTGATTTATTGTTTTATATTTTGGTGTCATTCCCCTCTTCCCTGAAATTAAAAGGAGGATGTGCGGTGTTTTTGCAGTAGAGCAATTGTTTTGTAGAACGTTGTCCCTCAAGAGCAGGGAGCGTTTTGTATCCACCGTGGTCCTCACCTTGGTGAGGCTGGCAGGCGGCTGGTGGTGACACGTGGGACGGGGCTCGTACCCTGTTCTCTCCTCCCTGGTCTGGGGCACAGAGCACTGCACGGCAGGCGGTGACATCTGCACAGAAAGGGAACAGAAGGTGGGCCAGGTTCTTGTGGCTCTGAGACTTGGCCCGAGGGAGCAGGGCGGTCCCTGTGGCCTTTATAGGGCAACGTCTGCGCTCTCTGGACACACGAGGGTGAGTCTTCACTCAGAGTACCGGGCAGACGCAACGCCATCATTTCTAGCTTGAATTCATGCTTCTCCTAAGAGTGACTTTTCCTTTTTCTCCTGAACACGTTGTTTTATACTGAAGCAATATTAAAGCAGGGGTACCTTAGAGGGGACTGCACTGGCATGGGGGAGAGGACTTTCCGTTTGTGTGACAGTCAGTGTCTGCTCAGGACAGCATTTCAGAGCACTGGAGCTCTCCCCTTCTGCTGTCCTCTGGGCTCCTGTGGTCAGGCAGTACAGGCCCAGTGTCCCTTATCTGAAATGCTGGGACCAGAAGTGTTTTGGATTTCAGATTCTTTCGGATTTTAAAATTTGCATATGTGTAACGAGATCTTGGGGATGGAACCCAAGTCTGAACACAAAATTCATTATGTGTCATACACGTACCTCACACACACAGCCTGAAGGTAACTGTATGCAGTATTCTTAGTAATTTCATGTATGAAACAAGGTTTGTGTTAAGTACATGTGTATGGGTTTTTCACTGGTGGTGGTGCCATGTCAGTGCTCAAAAGGTTTTGGATTTGGGAACATTTCAGGTTTTGGATTTTCAGATTAGGGGTACTCACCCTGTATAAGAACATGCTGCCTAAGTTTCCAGAAATATGTAAATTCTGATTTCTTTTTTTCTTTTTTTTTTTTGAGAAATGGTTTTTAGCTTTCCAGAGTAATTTGCTTGCAATTCTTGTATTTAGTGATTTGTCCTGCCATAATGAATCGTGTTGTGGAAGTTCAGGATGGGTCAGGACAGGTCTTCCCTGGTGAAGGTGTCTCAGTTCTGGATCTTGCTCGTCTTGCGTGGGGGCTGTGGTCCCGCTGCAGGGAGGGTGCAGCCCGGCCTCTCCCACCAGACAACACTTGAAAGGCAGTGGTCACAGTCCACGTTTTTATTTCTGAATCTATGTACGAAAGAGCATGAAAAGAGATCCCTACCCCTGACTTAGCATCCCAACAGATGAAGAACTAAAGTCACATCAGAGCTATTAAGGAAATGGGGTGGGGGCTGGGGACCCCAACCCCTGACCTCCTGAGACCTCTGGTGTGACTTTGCCTGCTCTGAGCTGTGTCACTCCCCGCGGCGTAGACATTCTGACCCGCAGGCCCCGGGGCCACCTCAGCTGCTCCTGCACTGGCTTCCCTGTGTTCTGGCTCCATGGTGTTGCAGTCACTTTCTACCTGCCTTCCTCGGAAAGTCTCCAGCACTGTCCAGGTGGGACCAGTAGGGTCACCGAAAGAGTTAGGGTCCCTGAGAGCCGTCTCGGTGCCAGGAATGGAGAGGGGTGGTCTCCCAGCAGTGCAGCTCTCATTTAAAGTCTGTGGATTGTGGGGGTCAGGGAAGCAGAGTGAGGACACGGTATTTCCAGATCCAAGGACTAGGCCCTGATGTCCATCCTGCAGGCCCGTGTGGCCGCTGGGAGCAGAGCCAGAGCCGGACCCCAGGAGAGGCGCACGGGTCTGGCGGCCCTGGTTTTGCTGGCGAGTGGCTTCCACAGGAGCAGTGTTAACGAGCGCAGCCTAGATCTCTGGGTGGGTGGGGAGAGACGCTGCCTGGCAGGGCAGGCAGCACAGCTGGGCCATCCGGGGGTTGGTGGACTCACCCAGGGCTGCCTCCACGCGGATCCTGGGTGAGTTGTGTGGCACAGAGTGGACCCTCAGGATGTTAAAGAAGGAACAAAGGACTTTCCCCGCAAAACCTGTCATAATCTTTGCAGTGTAAACGATACATAGAAGTATCAGCATCGCTTTATGTTTTTATTTTTCAGTGAGTAGTTTTGAAGATGATTTAGCGCGGCACCCTTTGTAGCTGTCAGTTGAGAGACTGTCTTCACCTGCCTTGGAGTGGGTGGATCCTGGTGTCCTGAGGTGCCGAAAGTGCTCGCTGCTAAACCCTTTGTGTGGCCCAGACGTAGTGACCCAGCGTTTGCAGTTATTTTCACAAATAGCATGCACAGAGCCTAAATGCCTAAATGCAGTGCGACTCTTTCTAATCTTAATTTTTCCTTTTTTCCTCCCTTCACTGCATTCCTTCCTGGTTCTTTCTTCACAATCTCAAAGGACTACCATCTTGCTTTACTGTTCAAGGTACCTCCGTGTTTCACCACATACTGCGTGTGTTGTGTTGTCTGAAGCGCATCGTCCTTGCCACCACCTGGCTCCGTCCCAGCTCTTACTGACTTGAGCCGAGTCCCAGGACCTTGAGGCAGGTTTCAGCTTCCCCTCTGGTCAGTCGACAGAGGGTTTGATGAAATACCTCACAGCCCAATGCCTGGGTGCTGAGGGGGACTCTGGACATGCCCATAGACACTTAACTCAGATTTAAAGACACCCACACAGTGCCCGGAGCAATGCCGCCAGGGCCTGCGTTGGAGAGACCCAGCGTTGACCGTGCACGGCCTCTGTGTGTGCCTGTGTTCCTCCTAAGAGTTTGCCAATTTTTTTCTACAAAACTTAAGTTTTCTTTCTTCACTTCCCTTATTAAATACACTGGTGAATCTCTTGGATGTGTGAGTGCACCAGCTCCCTGGCACGCCCAGAGCAAGCATCGGTCAATGGGATGTGCCCCCTTCACCGGAGCCTAGGCGCTGAGGCTGCCTGTCCCCACTCTAGCGACCTGTGCGCTGCCTCCTGGCCTGTGGGAGGAGGCTCCCCACCCGTTCAGGGATGAGTGAGGGGTAGACGGAACCCCGAGAAGCGGAGTGAGCTGGGACCAGAGGGCAGAAAGAGCCCCGTGATTTCTCTTGTGGCTGTGCAGGTTCTGGGGCAGCTCCTCTAATTGGGGCCAGACTCAGCTCTGGAGTTCCACGGGAACCTCCCCCCTCCGCTCAGACCCTGGCTGCTCTGGTCCTCACCCCCCTAGGTTGCTCCCACGCGCTGCACTTTGAGGCAGGGCCTGGGGTCAGCGAAGGTCTGAGGCCGTCTCCCCAGAATTGCGGGGGCAGTGGCGGCGAGGCCCCTAACCCTAACCCTCTCTCTCCCGCAGGACTCGGGACACCCCTGCACCGCGGCCGACCCCGACAGCTGCTTCACGCCTGTGTCCCCACAGCATTTCATTGACCTCTTCAAGTTCTGAAGCTGCCCCTCGCCCTGCCGTCCACTGGAGGCCGTCCTGGTCCTGTGCAGGGGTCCTCGTGTGCTCTGGGCCGGCGGGAGGAGGGCATGGTCGTGCACATGCATCTTTGGCGGTCAGGGCCCCCGCAAAATCATTTCTACTTCTGTCTGTAAAAACTTTTCTTCTGAGCATATTGGGATTTTTTTTCTGAGCAGTTTTTCATGTTTATATATATGGTTCAAAGAAGATTTTGAATTTTCAACCCCCTGTTCTGTACTGAACTGACACAGAAGGCCTTCTAGAACATGCTGCTCCATTGTCAAATCATAGTTTCCCCATTTTATAGTAATCGGAGTGGGAGACAAAACAGTTGATCCTTGTAAATACATTGTGGAGAATATTTATTTTTTCTTAAAATGTATTTTAACTGCATTGGCCATGCCCAAATGAGTCCTCTTTGAATACAAAACAGACCTAGGGAAGTGCTGGCACATTCTGACTGGTGGTAGGGAGTCAGCTGTGCATTGTGTGCTGTGACCCCATGGGGCGGTGGCTTCCCGGGCACCAGGCATAGGCCCGCGCAGGGCACCCGCTGCCGGGGGCCACACACACGTACACCTGGACTGTGCCCACCAACCCACGTGGGAGCGTGTGCCCAGACTGAGCTGGGAACAGCCACTGTGATCTAAACTCCTTTTACAGACAGGAATAAATCACATTTATCCCATTTACCTTCCTCAGTTTTGCATCTTACTGGAAAACATAGGGATTCTGATTTCATTCAAGTCTTTAAAAGATTGTTTTAAAATAATGCATGTTCACTTTAGAAAATTTTGAAAATAAAGGTATATAAAAGAAAATAAAAATCACCCCCAGTGTTACTGCCCAGAGATTACTGTGCATGCCGAGAAAAGCAGGCCACACCGTCTCTTGGTAGCCAGCGGGTAGAAATGTAAGACTATACGTTTTCGTCTTGGTAGGGTCAAGGGACCCAAGCTAATCATTTCTGCTTCCTTTACATTTTTCTCTTCTAAGTGTATTAAAATTTGTAATTTTATATATTTATAAATGCAAATCAAAGATTTTCAATTTTCAGACCCACATTCTGTGCCGAACTGACATGAATGGCCAAGAATACGCTGCTGCTTTGTCAAACTAGTTTGTCCCCTGGCACGATGCAGATGCTGGGGCCGCCGTGATATACACGGGAGCCAGAGTTTTCGTAAAACCCTCAACGTGCCACGTACCGTTTTCATTTCATAACCAGCCCCCTTTTTAGAAGCATTTACCTGTATCTTAACTATTTGGAAACATGGTTTTTATTGGGCACGTAGCATCAGCAGATGGAACCTTCCTCATCACGGCATTCAGGCAGCTCCTGACTGCTGCCAACATCAGTAACTCTGTGACAAGCATCGCTGTACATAGACGTTTGTGCATGTGACGCTTCCTCATGACAAACCAGCAGTAGAACCAACACGGTGAGTCAAACGTTTAAGGCTCTTAATGTACATTTCTAGATTGCTAGTGAGAAAAGAAACTGTCGTAACCTTTCTAAGAGAGGGAGTATATTGAGTTTCCATTATCCATGAAGCATGGATGTTGTTTCTTTTTCTGTTGGTGCTATTTTAGTAAGTGAAGAATTGGGTATGTGTTTTACTGTGAGGTTGAGCATTTTTGTGTATTTACTGGCCATCTGTTTTGTTTTTGGTAATTTAATATGTGTTCTTTGCCTGTTTTCCTTTGGGGTGTTGGTCTTTTTCATGTGACTCTGTTCTTAAAAGGACATTAACCTTTCGAAGTTGTGGTTCTTTCCCCCAGTTGGTCATATACCTTTTAATGGTCTCAATGCTATTCGGCTATGCTCTAGAGTCACACGTACGTGCGTTTAACTTGCATAAATCAAGTAATACCTGCTCAGAGAAAAATATCAACATTGATGGTGTAGGGGAGAGGATTCCAGCAATCACATGAAATTGGCATATTTTCACAGGTGGTGGGTGCCGCCAGCCCAAACCGTCAGTGCACATTGGTACCACTGAGGCAGGTGTGCCTTGGGGGCTGGGCAGGCGTGGGAGGCGGCCCACTCACATTGGGGGGTTCACGGAGGGTGTAGACAAAGACAGAATAAAGACAGTTATCAGTTATTTATAGTAAATCAGACAACACCAGAGATAAGAAGTGTAAGTTTACACATCTGGGTGTTATATTTGAATGCAAATTCTGTCAGAGGGTCTGCCTAAAGTAGGGGTGCCACTCCTTGCGGGATTAAACTACTGTTTTGATGCACTTATTTGCAACAAAGTGGAGATTTCAGGACACCAAGAGCCTGAGACCAGGCAATAAGCTTCACATGCCTTTGATCCTGGCAAAGTGATACCAGGCTCTCGAGATGCCACCTCATTCCCGGTCCTGCTGCCCGGAAGCTGGTGTTGGCGTCCAGTCGCAACTTCCCTTTGCCTGTGTCCAGAGTTGAAAAGGCACGTTTCGCACCTCATCTGTCAATCAGACAGATCAGAGAGACCAGCAGCTGTGTCTCGGTAGCAGAGCCAGGGCAGCTCTGTAGTGTTAGTGGTTTGCCAGGGATGTGCCGTTTTCTGAGTGCACGCCGTGCACATCTGCACAGGGCTGTACGTGGAAAACTGTCTACTTTATGGAAAAGCTGTAAGGATCTGTATACAGTTTCTGCCTTAAATGCTGCTTTTACAATCAGAGCCTCAAAAGATTTTTGGATCCTGGACCCTTGCCGAAATACTTCATCAGCCCCCATAGTGGTTTGTGGAGTCCTCATGATTTGCTGTAAACAAAATTGTGTATCTCTGAATAGACCATTTCGCTGCTTCTTCAGTTTGCATGCCTGCTGCTTCTCTTTGCTGCCTCCTTCCCTGGCTAGAGCCTCTGCTGAGTAGCAGAGGCAAGAATGGGCATCCTTGTCTTGTTCCTGGTCCCAGGGAAACCATTCAGCCTTTCACCACCAACTGATGTTACCCGTGGGCTTTTCCATGGATACGCTATGCCAGGTTGAGGAAGTTCTCTTCTGTTGCTAGTTTGCTGAGTGTTTTTATCATGAAACGGTGGTGGATTTTGTCAAATGCTTTTTCTGCATCTCTTGAGAAGATCACATGGCTTTCATCCTTCATTCTGTGGATGTGAGGTCATTACATGGACCGATGTTTGTATGTTGAACCAACCTTGCCTTCCTGGGCTGAAGCCCACTCGGTCGTGTGTCTGATGCTTTGATAGAGTTGTTGGATTTGGTTTGCGGTTCAGTTGACCCTCGGTGTCTGCAGGGAATGGTTCCAGCACCTGCCTTGTGTGGCCTTTGTCTGGTTTAGGTGTCATGGTAAAACTGCCTCATAGGATGAGCTTGGAAAGTGTTCCTCATCTTCTGTTTTTTTGGAAGAGTTTGTGAAGGTTTCTTGTTAATTCTTTAAATGTTTGATAGAACTGCACATAAGATTCGAAGTCACTGAGGAGGAGCTCAGTGTAGTCGCATCTTGCTTTTTGGAAATTCCTCATTGCCTCTAACAGGATAAGGCTGTTTTTCCAGGGATGGCTTAGTTAACGCTTTCTCTTCACTGCAAAGGCCTCACCTAGCAGGTACATGGACTGTGACACAGTCTGTTCTGCAATTACCAGGAGTGATGATGCATGACTGTAAGCTCCCCTCCGTCACTGCATGTTTGCACCTGCTGGACTCTGCTCACCTCCCTTTGGTCCCTACCTACTGCAGTAGCAAGTGCCACCCAGTGAAACAGCCAGAAGATCCGCAGCACGTGTGAAGACAAGGACTTGCTTAGCCCAGCACACAACAGATGTGCACCAGCTGCTCAGCGACCTCTGATGGTAAGTGCCAGCTTCTGCCCTGTCCTCAACTTCCCTGCGCTTGCATCTGTCTCCTGCCTTCACTCACGAGCCTCGCTCCTTGTCCCTGCCTTTGTTTCTGCCCTGAGGAAGCAGACCCTCGACTCTGGAGGGCAGTGTCTTCGAGAGCCGGTGGTGACTAGCGCTGCTCAGCTGGTGGGGGCTGCTCACGGATGTGGTCCTGCCTCTTGGGTGCTGCCTCAGTCTCTGTGGACCAAGGGGTCCCGCTGTGAGGTCACTCCCCTGAGCACTGTCCTCGATACAGCCGTGTGGGTCATGTGCCAAGGAAAACCTGGGGCCTCGCCGGTTGCCCCTTTGGAGAGTGGTGGAGAATGGAGCTGTGCTTGGTGGGGGTGCAGCCTCGTGCCACGACCATCACATCCCCCCACAGCCAGGCTTCCCTGAGGATGGGGGGGTCCCCAAGAAATGCTCTCGTTACCCTTGTTTAAGGCACAGTAAAAAAGATGAGGTATCAGACAGGAGAGACACTGCAACTGTTTTAGTTTTTGCATGAAATTTCATTTTTGTTTGATAGTCATTTGAGAAACATGCACAGATGAGGGCAAGTAGTTTTTTTTTATTTAACTCTGTAGACAATTCTAATGCCATCAAAAATTTTTTCATTGTGGTAAAATTTATCCTAACCAGTGTACAATTTAGTGGCACCTTTACATTGTTGTACGTTTTTATCTTGTAAACTGAAACTCTGTCCCCATGAACACCAACTCCCCCTCGCCCTCCCCTAGCCCTGGCAACTCCATGCTGCTTTCTGTCTCTGAATTTGACCACTGCAGGGGCCTCAAGAGTGGAACCACAGGGAATCGTCCTGTGTCTGACTTATTTCACTAACTGTAACGTCCTCAGAGTTCTTGCACGTTATCACATGTGCCAGAACTCCCTTCCCTTTCAGACTTGGAATCTCCCAGCATTTATGTGTGTGCCACACTCTGCTTATCCGTTCACTCGTGGATGGACACCTGCGTTGCCTCCAAACTCATGGCTGTTGTGAATGATGCTGTGAACGTGGGTGTACAAATTTCTCCTAAAGACCCTGCTTCCTGTTCTTTGGGGTGTGTTCCAGCAGTGGAATTGCTGGATCATATGATAATTGTTTTTAATTTCTGAGGAACCACTGTGCTGTTTCCCACTGCAGCCACATCGGCCTACATTCCCACCAGCAGTACGCAAGGCTTCCAGTTTCTCCACATCCTCTGCTATACTGTTGGTTTTCCGGGTTCTTTTTGATAGCAGCCACCCTAATTGGTGTGAGGTGGTTTTGATTTATGTTTCTCTGACAAGCAGTGATGCTGAGCATCTTTTTATGTGCTTCTTGGCCATTTGTATGACTTCTTTGGAGAAAGGTCTATTCAGGCCCTTTGCCCGTGTTTCAGTCAGGTGGTGTAGGTGTTTGCTCTGAGTTGCAGGAGCTCTTTGTATGTTCTGGGTCTTTATCCTTACCTGGTAAATCGTCTGCAAATTACTTTCTCCCATTCCGAGGGTGGCCTTTCACCCTATTGTTTGTGTCCTTTGATACACAATGTTTTTTCTCATTCTTCTGTTGCCTTTGCTGTGGCGTCACATACAAGAAACCACTGCCAAATCCAATGCCATGAAGATTTTCCCTAATGTTTTCTTCTAAATGTTTTATACTTTTTGGTCTTTGTTCCATTTTGAGTTAATTTTATATGTAGTGAAGCTCAGGGCTCAGTTTCCCTCTCGTACACATGGAGGCCCAGTCGTCCGGCTCCGTCCTTTCCCCATCGGATGTTCTTGGCTCCCTTGTTGAAAATCAGTTGACTGAGTGTGCAAGCGTTTACTTTTGGGCTCTGTTCTGTCCCATTGGTCTGTGTGTCTGTCCTCTGCCCAGGCCACCCATTCTGTTCACTGCAGCTCTGCAGTAAGTTTTGTGGCAAGGACGTGGGAGACGTCAGCTTTGTTATTTTAAGATCGTTTTGGCTGTTTGGGATCTCTTGAGATTCCACACGAATTTCAGGATGGGTTTTTCTATTTCTGCAAAAAATGCCACTGATCTTGAGAGGGATTGCACTAA